GTGTGTGTGTGTGTGTGTGTGTGTGTGTGTGTGTGTATGCATGTGTGTGTGTGCACGTGCATGTGTGCAGTGCATTGTGTTCATGTGTGTGTGCACTGTTTGTGTGTGTATACACATGCCTCTGTGCCTGTATGTATGCAATGTGTGCAGTTTGTGCAGTGTGTGGTGTATGCATGTGTGTGTGTGTGTGTGTGTGTGTGTGTGTGTAGATCAGGCCATGAGAGCTTGATCATAAGGAACTTTGTGGAAGGCCCTTGGCCGACTGTGTACCTGGGAGAATGCTGTCCTCTGGAGAGCCAGTGATTGCCAAGCTAGCCATGTGCTGATTTCCTGAAGCTGAAAGTGCCATCAGTCTCTCTCCCTGAAGGGCATCATCTGCACCACCCCACTCTCTGAGGCAGGGGCCTGGCCTTCTCTTAGGAGAGTGAACAAGGGATTTCTGGGTTCCAGGTTCATCTAGAGTAAAAGCTGAAATACTCTTGCCCATCAACCTGAGGTCTCATGGATATTATTGCTTTTGCTTTTTTTCTCTCTCTATTCTTTTCTTCCTTCCTTCCTTCCTTCCTTCCTTCCTTCCTTCCTTCCTTCCTTCCTTCCTTCCTCCCTCCCTCCCTCCTCCCTCCCTCCTCTCTTTCTCTCTCTCTCTTTCTTTTTGGAAAATTGTTGAGACAGGTTCTTGCTATATAGCCCAGGTTGGTCTTGAACCTGCCATCCTTCTGCTGCCTCCTTGAGTGCTGAAACAATACGCATATACCACCATGCCTGGCTAATATCACCCCCAATCTAAGCAGGATACACAGAAGCCCTAGCTCCCCTGTCTTGTCCTGAGTCACCCAGAGTGGGGAAGGGCACCCTGATACTTAAGGGTCTGCTGGCTGTCAGGTCCAACTAGGAGGAGAGGTGCTTAACCAAGGATTTTAAAGCTCAGGACAACTAGGACCCATGAGTCAGTTCAGGGCCACACAGATAGCATCAGGTACAACTGGTGTTGAAGTCAGGTTTGTTTGCCTCCAAAGCTTCCCCCATGAGCTGGGAAGCAGAACGAAGGGAATGAGAGAGCGGAGTAAAGGATGGGCAGCTGTGAGGAGTTGATTCATCTGGAGTTCAGTTTTCAAACTCATGGCCTTTTAAAAATTGTTATTACACATATATAAGTACATGTGTTGATATATATGTGTATGCATGCATATGTACATACATATGTATTCCTAAATGTAACCTGCTCAGTCTGTTTAATGTTACAGGGAGGGGCATATGGAAATGTTTGGAGAGAGGGGAGGGAAGGGAAAAAAGATGTAATTATATTATAACCTCAAAATAAAAGAAAAAATACCTTAAAATAAAATTGTAATTTTTGAGTGCGTGTGTGTGTCAGTGCCTTGGCACTCATGTGGAGGTCAGAGGTCACTTCTCTCCTGTCAGCTTATGGGACAGGGGTGAACTCGGTCGGGTTGATAGGCCCATGTGCTAGCGCCTCTATCAGCTGAGTCATCCCAGTACTCAAGAATTGAGTTCTTTATCCCCGCTGCATGAGGAGACACTGACATACAGCGGTACTAACTGCCATGTTCACAGATAGTCAGATATGGGCCTCCATTTCCTGACACTTTCCTCTGGGCAGTGCATCCCCGAGGGGTCTGCTACCAGTCACCCTCCTGCCTCTCTTTCTCAAGGAACCTAACAAGGACCAGGAGACTTGGAAGGGGTAAGGGAGAAGAGCACATGCAGTCGGATTTTTCTTTGGGCCACCAGCTCACAATAACAACATGGGGGTTTATTATTAATTATGGAAGCTCAGCCTTAGCTTAGGCTTGTTCCTGATTAGTTCTTATAACTTAATTGACCCATATTATTTAATCTACCCTATTTCCATACTGCCTACCCTGCTTCTTCTGCGTCTGTCTGGCGACTCGCCTTTCTTCTTGTGTATCTTCTCTATCCAAATGGCTGGCTTTTCTACGGCTAATTCGGCTAGTCACCCGCTCCGCCCCCTGATTCAAAGGTAAACTTTATTGACTGTCTGGAGTGTCACAGTATGATCCAAATGTCCCACAACGATCACATCCTCTGGTCCCACAGGCCCTAAGCTTAGTCCTGCTGTGTTTGAAAGTCACCTTCCTGTTTTGGGCCACCCTGGACCCTGATGGCAGCCAGGTGAGCAGGGCGGGGCATTCCCTTAGCAATTCAGAACAAGGCCTTAGCCTGGCCCATCCTACATGAGCAGGCTTGGGATTTTGCCTTTTGGGCTTGGGCTGAGTCATAGCCTGTTTGTCTACCGAGGTCCCTGTCACAGTTGTCTGGGTCTAGCTCCTGTTCTCTCTCCCCCTCCCTCTCTCACCGGTCTCTGGGCTCCTTCCCCAAAGAGCGGCTCTGTTTCAGTCCATCTACCTTGGGAGAGGTTCCCCAAAAGCAGAGCTAGGGAGGTGGCCTAGATGGGACAAGGGAAGGGCAGGCATGTGCCTAGCTAGCTTCAGTATATCTCTTTTGGTCACCAAGGCCCTAGAGAGCCTCGGCTGCAAGTGACTCATCTCTGGCCTGGTCATTTCAAACTCTGGGTTCCTCTGTGTTTATAACATCTGATGAGGCATAGTAGAGGGAGGAGACCCTTCAGTCTAAAGGAGTGGGGACATACCGAGTGACAGACTCAGAAGGTCAGGACCGCCTTGTTCTCACTCTCTGTGTAGACACACTCTCTCTCCAGCTCTCACAGGAGCCCAGCTTGAACCCGCTGCTGAGGCCATGCAAGCGGGGAGGATGCTGGGCGGGCTCCCTTTGTGCAAACAGTAGTAGGAAAATGCAGCTGGTTGTGTATAAACTAAAGCTTGTTACCATTCTGGAAGCTTCTGACTCAGGGGCCCACGAGCTGGGAGTAGAGAACACTGTGGAGAGGAGAAATCATGTGTAAGCTGTTACCGCTGGGCCCCAAGCGTTCTGCCCTCGGGCCACTCTCCAGACCTACCCTGCTGACCTCTCTTCACCCTTGCTGGAGCCCAGACGCAGCCAGCTGCAGCCGCATGGGCCTCTCATTATGTCCTCTGGGGTTCTGCACCAACACAGCAGGATTGGGGGCAGGAAGGGGGAGGCAGCCGGCTGGGGGTTGGCTCCTCGCAGGGTGATGTGAAAACACATTAAGGAGACCAGAGGCCACCGGCAGATGTGCCACTGGGCTGTTCTCCACAGGCTGTGCCTTGGCAGGGACAGACCTGCGCCACCTTAGCCCCGAAGAAGCAGCCGTGTGCTCTGCAGGGCCTGGAGAAGATGGAGCAGCCGCCTGGGGAAGACGCGGAGAGCAGGACCAGGGCAGTGGGATGCGGGGTTCATCTCCTCATCTCAGTATTGAGTAGCTGTGTAAACAACATGCAGATTGCCCCGTGATTGTGTCCTAGTCAATAGCCCAGCATTTGTCATCTTTGACCTGAAGCTTTGGTCTCCCTGGATCCCAGCAGGTCACCAGGTGGGAGGGGGGAGGCCGTTAGCCTTAGACCGAGGGTGGGGAGTGGGGGGGGGAGGGGTCATCACTTTCTCACTCCGGAGCTGTCACAAAGAGGGGCAGCCAAGGGGAGTGGCGGCAGATAGACCGTGGGGGTCCCTTCCAGTGGACCCAGACATGGACTCTGTGTGGTGGGGGCCGCTGAGCAGGGAGGCTGTGCTGGGCCTGATGGATAGGCCCTGGCAGCAGCTTCATTTGCCCTGTGGGAGTCCTGGGCTTAGCTCTGCACCTCGAGGTCAGGCAAGGGCCAAAGAGCTACTGGGAGCTTGGGCGGGGCTTGTGATGGGAGGAGGGTGTCAGCATCTTTCCTGCTGACGAGCTGGGGGGGAGGGGAAGGGCGAAGAGGCTCCAGGTAGGAGGCACACCCAGTCATCTAGGTTGGTTCCTTCTTCCTAAAGTGTCCTGTTCCTGTAGTATGGGGTGCAAGTTGGGGATGGGGACAGGATGATCGGGTGGGTGTGAGGGCAAAGCACATATTGCCCATCATGCCACCAGCCTGTAGCCTAGCCTAAACACACTCATGCACACTCAGCCACCCATCCCTCACTTACATACTCACGTGCTCACCCACCACACTTGTACACTCTCATGTACACTCACACATACTAGTTCAGACACACACCACACTCAAATACACCCATACACACTCATATAAGCATTCACACTCAAATACACTCAAACACATAAATCTTCCTTTCAAATGTCCAAAAAAAAGGTGTGTGAGGGGCAGGAGTGGTATGTGGGAAATACACCTCCTCATTCATGACCTCCCTCCCGGTCACAAAATTGGGACCTAACTTCCTGTCTTTGGAGGCCATTCGCCCATCCCAGGGGGTGTTCAGTCCTGGGTAACATCTGCATATGACCAACCCAGAGTGGGTGGCAGATGATTTGAACTGTAGGACAAAGCTGTCACTGGCCCCTCCTTTTCTAGCCAGTGCTGTGACCCGTGCTGCGGCTCTGTGTGCATCATTTCCCAGAAGCCCCTTGAAAACCTTGCCCCACCAAGGTGAATGCTTCAACTAGAGAGGAAGGAGGCTGGGGCAGCCGCATTGGGGCAGGGGCCAGCCGACAGCCTGTCAAATGAGCTGCCGCCTCACTTCATAAATTCCTGGGCCCTTCCCCTGGATACCTGGAGTCTGACCTCGGTGCAGGGAGCAGAATTCTTTCTCTGTCTCCTGATCAACAGCCCGGGCCATTGCCAGCTTCCAGCGGATCTGTCTCCCCTGCAGCCCCACCCCCACTCCCCCAAGAGACACTTTCTTCTGGGGAAGTCTCATTAACCCTAGGCTTGGGGCCAAGGCAGGGCTCTGCTTGTCACCCCTGCCCTTATTAGAGCAATCATCTCTGTCTGGCGTGATGGCCAAGCTTCTCCTTGGAAGCTTGTCTGCACACAGGCCCTCCCCTCCCCTCACACAGGCTGTGGGCATGCGGTGTTTTGCAGGCCTTTATAAGGCGTCGTAATGGCAGCTACTGATGGGTCAGATCCAGGGTGGCGAATTTCTCTGTTCTGTCTCCCGAAAGGCAGCTCCAGTCCTCCGTGCACGGTGATACCTCAGGCCACCTGCCGTTGGGAGACACGGAAACTCAGGCTGTCCTAAGATATTTCTGGGGTACAGAGTTCTGGTCCCTGGTGTAACTCTTTCCCTTTCTCAGACTCAGTGCAAATTCTGAGCTGGTTGGGAAAAGTCTCTCTGAAGAAACTTGGACTGGCAGATTTCTCAGTGTCGTGAGTGGGAGACTGGGTTTTATTCTCTTCCTTGTGCGGATCCCCTGCTTCTCTGTGAAGCTCAGCATGCATTCCGTTTCTTTCTAGAAACAGTTCTGGTGGTTAAGAGTCAGCGATGTGCAGTCAGCTAGGCATAGGTTCAAATCCTGGTATTGCCTCCTACTACTAGCTGGGTGATGGGGAAAGTGTCTGAGCCTCTGTTTGTACATCTGGAAAATGGGCATGATGATAGTGACACTGGCCATAAAGTTAGTACAAACATTCCAAGAGGGGGTGCACAGAACTAACCTGAGGACGAGCATGGCAGATTTGTATGTGGCGTCTGAAGAAAGAGTCTGCTTTTCAGTGTGGGTCAAGAACTATGGACTGGTCTCCTTTGCTCCTATACAGGGAAGTTACAAACAGCCAAAAAATAATAAATAACAATAAAAAAGTTGGTTTCTGTGGGGGAAAGGTATTTTTCCTTAAGAAGACCTGCAGGAGACTAGGGGCTACTGCTCAGTTGGTAGCATGCTTGCTTAGCATGCTGGAAACCCTGCATCTGAGTCCTCCAGCACTGCATAATGCGTTGTGGTGGCATGTACTTGCAATTCCAGTCCTTAGGAGGCAGAAGCAGGAAGATCAGAAGTTCAAGGTCATCTCTGAATGAAGTGAAGGAAAGGACAGCCAGGGGCTTCTGGAGGAGTCCAGACTGAACTGGGCCTGGGGCAGGGGGGTGGGGGGGCAGAGGAGGAGTGAAGGAGGAAGAGAGGAGAGAGAACCAAGGGGAACGAGAGAGGGCCAAGGAAACCAGAGAACTTGCAGCTCTAATGGCAGGCTTTTGTAGGACTCCAAAGCTGGGGGAAGGGAAGCAAAACCCCTGGGCTGGAGAGGTTTAGGGCTGGGGATGGGGTGAGAAGACTTGAGAGATGCCCCAGGTACTGAAGGAGCCTGGCAGCCAGCATGTGCTTTGGTATGTTAATAGGTACCACAGTTAGTCCTGAGTTTCTTTGGGACTTGACAATCCTCAACTACAGAGCAACTTTGAGGCCAGCCTGGGTTACAGGAGTCCTTGTCTCAGAAAACAGGTAAAGTAAAACAAGTAGAAAGTCTCAGAAAAGACATGCAGGACCCTGATAATCACGGAACTCAGAAAGAGGGACTAAGCGGCCAGTTGTTGGAATGGATAGAGAGATGAGAAGAATGCTTTTCAGATAGTCTTTTGATTTTTGATCTACGTCTATGTCATACCAAACCAATTTTAAGCCAGGCACGGTAATCCATACCTATATCTCTAGCACTTAGGAGCCTAAGGCAAGAGAATTACAAGTCAGAGGCCAGTCTGGACTACACAGTGAGATCCTTGTCTCGGAAAATACAATTATGGGGCTGGAAAGATGGCTCAGTGGTTAAGATCATTGGCTGGTCTTCCAGAGGACTGGGGTTCAATTCCTAGTACCCACATGGCAGCTCCAGAATAGGCTGTAACTCTTATTCCAGGGCATCTGATATCTTCTGGTCTCTCTGTGGGCACTGTGTGAATGTGGTACAGATACATACAATGAACATAAAAACACCTAAAATGAAAATACAATAAAATGATTATATATTATTTTTAGTTAATCAATTCTCTTTGGGCTTTGGTTGGAAGGGGCCAAAGCACAGCACTGCAATCATCCTGCATTGGGATTCATCTGACAGCTGCCACGACTATTATGCTGTCCAGGTCTAATGCCAGTCAGAGCAATGTCAATGTCATGTGTGCCCCTGACCTAACCCAGTGCTAAGGTTGGTGACACATCTTCCCTGGCTCCAAGATCAGTTCTGGGTCTGTCTCCAAAAAAAGTTGTCAGTGATGTTGCCAAGGCAACCAGTGATACTGACAACTCAGAGCAGGCAGATCCCCAAAACTTTTGCTTCTGCCCTCATCATTGAAGGCAAAACAAGACAGAAACCCTTCACACACAGTGAGAATATCTATCACTTGGTGAGACTGTCAACATGGCTTGACAGACACAACACCAGTTTTTAGCCAGAGAACTTTCTGGAACCATCAAGGATACTGGGGACCACTCTTGTGACATCACAGATGACCTTAGCAGTGGCATGGTGGAACACCCAGATGATTGTGTACAGAGGAAAATGTTCTGATCAAGTATCATCATCTCACAATAAAACTAACTAATAAAGAAATTTAAAGCTAGGAAAGTAACAAAGCAGATATGCAGAGATCTAAAGTCTGCCAGGCTTAATGGTAGACCTAAGGGTGCTTGACTACAAAAGACTGAGGAGAAGAGGTGGTGATCTGGGACTTCGGGGCCCAAAGCTGGGAGAGAGTCTTATGTATCTCCTTGAAGTAATTCCTGCAGACGGCTGCTTTCTGTCTAAGTGTCTTATCTCAATGACTGTCCTGTGGTCTAGACTCAAGCCACCAACAACTGTGTCCTGTAAGTATGGCAAGCAAGCGTGGTCTCTGCTCTGGAGCCACCTGGGCAAGAGGATCCTTGGGCTGCTATTGATTTTCTAGTGGGCATTTCCCACTTGTCTTTTTGCCAGGCATGGTAATCCCAGCACCCAGGAGGCAGAGACAGGAGGACCCCTGGGAGTTTAAGGCCACACCAAGCCTTAAACACAGACCCACCCACCCTTCAAAAGAATAAGTAAAAAGAAAAAAAAATCTGTCTTTTCCTCAAGGAACCCACTCACATCCCACCCTTCTGTAAATCTCTCGGGTGCCTGTCAGATCAGAACTCACCCTCTTACCCTTCTCTGCTCTCTGCTCACATAACTTCTGGTCACCCTTCCACCCTACCTTTCCTCTACCATGCCCCATAATATCCCTATTCGTTTGATGCCATTTCCCACTTCCAGCTCTGAAGACCTAGGACCAAGACAACAGTTCATGCACATCTACAGGTACTGGAAGCCCTAGCCGAGCACCCGGAGCATCACACATTCTCCATCAGTAGCCAGTGAGGAAGATGCTTTTAGACCTCAAAACTCCCTAGAGAGGAATGGATATGCCCTGCTCCTTTGAGCCTCGGGTTTCCACCTGTAAAATGGGGATTTGCAATAAAGGAACCCACCAGTGAGAGATCAGCTAAGCCACTCTAGGAGTTCCTTGCTACACTGTAAACCCTTCCAAGATGTATGCCCCTCTCCTCTGCAGCTGCACCCCAAGGCAAAAGCTCCCTGTGCTGGCACGACCTGTGAACGTTCAGAAAGAAGCACCTGGAGACAGAGCCCTAGGGGGATAGACGAGGCCTTTGGGGAACACCCATTTCTAAGCAGGTTAATGGTACTTGAAATGACTTTCCTTCCGTTGTGGTTTGTCTGTGAAATGTCCCCCACAGGAACATTTGTATTTGAACACTTGGTCCCCAGATGGCGGTGCTGTTGTGGAAGGCCATGGAACCTTTAGGGGGCCGAAACTCACAAGGAGGGTCTCAGGGTAGGCCCTGAGGTTTTATATAGCTCTGATCCACTTCCTATCCTCCTTCTTCCTGCACCGCCAATGCCTCGTGACCAGAGTGGCCAGTCACTTCCTCCCCTGCCCCATTTCTTCCCCTCTATGATGGACTGTATGACACAAACTCCTCCTCCCTTGAGCTGCTTCTTGCCTAGTGTCTGATCACGGCGACAGGAAAGGAGAGTAACTGGCCTCCTGCTGTGTTTTCCTTCAGTTTTCATTTATTCTTCCTTTCCTCCTCTTCAAATTGTCTTAGTGGGGAACTGTGGATGGAGGAGTAGGTGGCAAGATCACCTGGATTCGAGGAGTTGGGACAGACAGAGAGGAGCATCTCCTGTTCTCAGTAGGAGCTCATGGTTCACGCTGCCTGAGAAGGGCTCCTTTAATCCCGTCATTATTTCCCCTCTGGCCCCCCCAAGCTCTGTTACTGAGACTCACTGGAGTAGGAACTTTCTGTGCAACGTATCATGTTTACACTTAATGTCTGTCTGATCCATTAGCTCCACTCCAGCATGATCCTGAGTTGTACTTTTTCCAAGGAGTGGGTCCCTGCTCTCATAGTATGCCGTGGGGCTGGTGATAGCATTATGGTGTCACCAAGGGTGGAACTAAAGCCATTGTATTGTTCTGCCTTTCTTCTCTAGACATGGGGCAGATACTCCAGTTACATGGGAGTAGGAAAGACACAGGGTAGACGTGGCAGTCACTGATGGGGTATGGCATTTGCCACATGGTGTACGCTCCTTGATCGCCTCTTCCCTGTGTCCTGCTCTTATCTGTTCCACAATCCTCAGATCCAGTGGAAGCACCTTCAGATTTATACGGTGCTATTTACTGGCCCTCTGCCAATTAGTGACACTTTGAAATTCCCTTATATGATGCACTGCTGCTCTGACAATAAACAAGTCATTAGCTGGGTCAGAGGGCAGCTTCCAGCTGGTTTTGATTCATTGTTTCTGAATCTGGCTCAAGAGGCTCCTTATGATGCGAGGTCTCCAGTCCAGCCCCCAAAGCTGGACGCAGATGGGGCCTCTGGGCACCTAGGTGCTGGATCGCTGCATCTGCTCTCTGGAGGAAACACAGACACTATCCGGCCCTCGTTGATCTTTCTTAAGACAGGGTCACAGGACCAAGGCCTTAGCGAAGTGCACATAGAGCAGCAAGGAGCAGGGACCAAGGCCAGGGAGAGGGAGAGGCAAACAGCAGAGGCAAAGGTGACAAAGGACAAGGAGAACAAGACACTTCACTGGGTGGTTTGGAATGGGAAAAGATGGCGGATGCCTGAGTCAGAGAGCCTGGCTAATTATATCCAGCATATGTCCTTGAGTAGCAGCACCAAAAGCTGTTTGACTTGGAAGAGATCTTGTACATCTCATGGGCCAAACCTGTCTCCATTTTACAGGTGCATATCTGATGCCTGAGATAAGCGCAGTGTCTTTTCCAAGTTCATCCAGCTGACCTGAGATCAGACTAGAGGCAGGTATAGCTCCCAGTCCAAATGTTTCCTAGGACCTGCAACAGCCTCCCTGGATCTTAAGAGACCATGATGTGGAAAAGATCAAGGAAGCTACTCCTTGCTTTGGTGCTTACTCCTCCCAGGCCGCCTCTCCCCTCCATCTACAACCTCTCACAATCCCTGGATTGTGGGATTCTGCAGATATTCAAGGGTTACTGTGGGTGTCTGTGGATGCTTTGTGTTTGAGTAGACAGATAAAGTGGGCAGGGACACTGTACTCTGCTAAGCACTATGAGAGAAGTAAAAACGATTTAGACAGGCCCATTTGTTTTGTGTTCACAAGCTCATGGACTAGAGTGTAAAGCACAACAAACTGGCCAGTAGACAGGCACAGAACCAGGAGACTGAATGGTAAACTGTACAGCTGAAGCCATGATGCCTTGGGAGTGACAGCTTGACTGTAGTCTAGATCCTAGGGACTATGGGGAGGGTTCTTGATCTCCAGTCCATAAAAAGCAGAGGGCTAATGCTAAAGTGTTTGCAAAAACTAAGACACCACAAGGGATAATCCTCCAAGAAACCAGGACTAGGGGACTAATGTAAGGTGGTGTCCTTGCTAGGACTCTGAATAGAAAATAAAGTCTTCTGTGAGAAATAGAGGCTCCAGGCTTGAAACATATGTGACTGGAGTGTCTATTCCAGGCTGAGAAATCAATGTAAAAATAGATTCCAGACCAGGCAAACTCAGAGAGTATCAAGAGAGAGAAAATGTAAAACTATTCAGAAGGAATGCACCCTAGAACAACAGCATTTTCACAGCAAAAAATAATCCCCTTTGAAGCTGCTCTAACAAAGAAACTACAAACCACAAGGCAATGGCGTGCTGCTAGGGGAAGTCAGCAAGCATATCAGACTAGTTTCATATTCCAATGACATAAAGTAACAATTGTAAAGAAACTGAAATGACTGTTTCAAATAACTTAAAAGATCAGAAAAGAAATGCAGAAGAGTATGGTGAAAGATAGCGTGTAAATTTGCAAAAATAAATAAACAAAAGCCAACTAGAACTTTCTAGAAATGAAAACGATGCTCACTGAAACAAATTTTGCTCAGTGAATGTTTCAGAGCCAGGTTAAACTTTCTGGGGGAAAAAAGTAACAACATAAAAGCTCATTGGATCTATCAGACAGACGGTTAGATGAAGTTGAGCAGAGAATTAATGAACTGAAAGATAGAGCAGAAGAAATTACATCAATTGCAGCACAGAGAGATAAAGAGAGAACATGTGGAAGAGAAGCTAAGAGGAGCTTAGACAGACCAAGAGCATCCAAGTTATATTTGCAAATAACTGCAGAAGGAAAATCTTGTAGAGAATAGTGGAACAGTCACGTTTAATTTTCTAGGACTGATGGAAAACATTTATCCTCAGATTAAACAAACAAAAAAACATTGGAATTTTTGAGGTGGGTATATAAGAATACATCTGGAATATAATATGGATTTAAAGAGACACAACTAGTTAGTATTTTAAGGGATCAAAGCAAAAGGAGAGAGTAATTTTGTCCAGGAATATCCTGGAAAGCTCATAGAAAACAGACTTGAAAGTCAAGTAATATTTTAAGAGTTAGAGAGTGTGGTAAAGCAGAGGGAAGGCCTAAGAAATATAAGGTGCCAGTCTGACTTTAACACAATTTGTTTTGAATTAAGTTACCTCAACTCTAGATGCCTGTGTGTTAATAAATGCTTGGGGGACCCTCTCCTGGCCTGAATCTTTACTTCACGCTGTGTTTTTTTAGCTCTTCCTATCTGGACCCTCTGCCCTGCTCATGAGCACAAGGCCAGCTAGCCAATCCTGAGTTCACCCCTAAATCCATCCACTATCACTCTTTGGGGCCACACCCTCCTGGGAGCCAAGCTGAAACTGGACTACCCCACCTTGCTTTTCTCTACTGTGGTCTTTAGGGCAAAGGAACCCCTGCTCTGCAGTGAATATCAGGGGCCCATCTTACAGCATTTGTGTCTTGTTAGCAGTGTCAGTGGCTTCAGAAGGACAGAGAAACCTGGGCATGATAATTGGCTCATGAAAGCTGCAAGTTGCTGGAGGGGGCAGGAGGGTCTAGAGAGCAGTAGACTTAATGGGAAGCAAATGCTTTAGCGGGGTCTATGCGTACCCTCCCCCAGCTCATGCCATCAGCATTCTTCAGACACCTGTAGGCACTTGGCTGGCCATGGGATGTCCTAGCTCCTCCCTGATGGAGAACAGAAAGCCAAAGTTTGGTTCTAATTAAGGGGGCAGGGAGCAGGGGTGGGTGTGAGACAGGAACAGTTTCTTGAATCTTTTAAGAGCACATAATTCTTTGGCGGGGGTCAGGGGGTGGGGGCATGGTTGTCAAACTCTGCTCCACCTTATGATTGTGGTATTGGGAAAAGAGCACTGGACTTAGAATCTGATGAGCTTGGGGTTGAATGCTAGAGTACCCTTCTCCTAGTTTTGTGACTATGGAAAAAGTATCAAGGGGTTGAGTGTGTATGGGAGCTTGTGTGAGCACAAGGACCTGAGTTCAGATCTCCAGCAGCTCCATGAAAAGCTGGACATGGCTTCTGTACATGTGACCCCAGGGTTGGGGGGACAGGGCGGAGAGAGGAAGGTCATTGGGGCGGGCTTACTGGCCACTAACCTAGCTGAAAACCAGCAAGCTCCAGGTTTAGAGAGAGATCCTGTCTCAAAGCAATAAGTCAAAGTGATAGAGGTAGACAGGTCCTCTGGCTGCCCGCCCCCATGCATGCACGCATACAATTATGCACGTACACACACACACACACACACACATACACACACACACACACACACACACACACACACACACACACAGACACCACGTCTGTGCGCTCACACACTGAAAAAGAAAAAGTGCCCAATTTTCCTCATCTTTCTAATCTGTAAGAACAAGGAGGGAATAATTCTGACTGACCAGGGTTCCTGTGAGTAACATGTAAGGAATACAGCTTGAAGACACAGCAGAACAGAACATTTAAGTGCTTATTATGTGGGGGGAAAGAAAGGTATCCTACTCATCTTTGTGACCCCAGAGGAGTCTATTGTGGTGTCTGACACACAAAGCAAACTCTTGGAAGATGAGACCCTAGGCATTGAGCCTTACTGCCTTTCACACTGATAGAGAACATGATCAGATCAGAGGCTGAGGTGTCAGGAAAGAGGACTGAGTGGCGAGTCACTGAAATGGACACAGTCATTGACCAACCAGCGAAGATCCAGCAATGAGCAAGGCTCTCTGAAGAACGTCGTCCAGCACGGGGATGCCCGGGGTCCCTCTTGTAAGTGGCAGTCGGCACAGACACAGAGATCCAGCTTATCCAGGAAGAGCACTTCCTCTGTTTCCATGACCCCATTTGTCCAGGTGTCACCCACAGCAGTGGGTCCCACTCACTTGAGGCTGTAGTGGCCTCTGTGGCTGGCTCCCCTCGACTGTGAAGGGCTTTCTGGCTGAGGTCCTTGTCCACCTGCTCGCCAGCTGCTCCTGGAGAAGTCTTGGCAGACTCTGGCATCTTCCACACATCTTGACTCTGTCTTCGCTCTGTAAAACATCTGTAGAACGATCTACTGGCCGTTTGTTTTCTGTTTGTCTTGGGGGCGACACAATCTCCATTCTTCACTTTAATGACTCTTTCTCTTCATTATTATCGCCTCAGCCGTTCTGTTTGTTTACCTTTTCTGAACCCCAACCACTTTCCCCTCCGCCTTCCTGGGCCAGCCAGGGCCTGTGCCAGTACCCTCTGCTTCCCTCCCCCAACGAGAGGGGGCCAGTCCAAGACCCTGCGCTCCCTGCTGGGAGCCTCACTCAAACCAGATGTGGCTTCTTCCTTCCCTTCCTCCTTCTCCCCCTGAGTTGCCCAGGGCTACAGGGGGTGAGGGAGAGGAGAGGCCCTCCACCCACATCCTGTTCTTCTCCACTGCTTCCCTGCCCAGCCCTGCGACCCTCACCAAGGAGTGAGGGACAGCAGTGCATGGCAGAGCATCTATTTAGTGCCAGCAGCGGGATGATGCTGGATGGAAAACAAAATCCCCAAAGCCTGGTGGGCAAGGGTGTGTCCCTGATGTGCAGCAGAGCCAGGGCTACCTTGGAAGGACTTGACGTGGTCCATGCATGACCCATGATACTAGGGGGTTCAAACTCTGACCCTCGGGGTTGGGGATTTAGCTCAGTGGTAGAGAGCTTGCCTAGCAAGCACAAGGCCCTGGGTTTGGTCCTCAGCCCTGGAAAAAAAAATACTCTGACCCTGACTGTGTCAAGCTGCCTCTGCCTCCATATTGCCCTACTAGCCACATCTTAAACTCTTTCGCCACTGCCCAGGAAAACTGAGTTATCTCTTTGTGGTGGAGGGGTCTTAGGCTTCCCCATCATTCAGTTGACAGCAGGCCAAGTAAAGAATTGAACCCAAATCTGATTTGATAGGATAATTGATTAGCTTTAAGTCGGGACCTGATTTTCTCCCTGGCCTAGTCTGACTTCTGGGAACTAACCTCTTCCTAAATAGAGACTGGGTTTTGTCCATATCCTCCGGCCTGGAATACACTCTGGAACTAGGTATGTATACTGCTGGCCACAACAGGTCATTGAAATTTGGTCTCAGGGAGGAGAAGCCATGGTGAGAGCTAATGTCCCTGCTGGTACTATGCAAATACCTGACTGCAAGAGATGGGGGATGTGGAAGAAACTGAGGAGCAGCCCAGTCTTGGAGACATTCAGGGGCGACAATGGGCCCCAACTCTGTGACATGTCACCTTTCCACCTTGCTAGGCTTTGAGGCTTGAGCTCTTGTGTATGGTGGTGGTAGTGGGAAGTGGTTAGGAATGCAGCTTAGATAAAGAAATTCACAGATGTGAACCAGACGTTACCAGGACTTCTCTCAAGGACTCGATAGGAGCATGTGCAAGTTCTAGCAGCGTCCTGGGTGACCCGCCCCAGAAATCATCTAAAGCAGTTTTGAACTGAGCACACAGGCAGATGGTCAGTTACTGCTGTACTCTGCAAATGACTAGGACAGTCCTTCTCAGCCATCAGGTGGCCTGTTTCCCCGCCTGGCACTCAGGTTGGGTGTTATTCCAGAAATCTGCTTTAGCTGAGGGCCTGGGGGGAGAACTTGAGTCTGCATGCTTCAGAAGTCCAACAGAGGACTATAGGACAGCAAGCGATTAACCCGTTCAGAGGCCTGGACTGAGTACAACACCTGTAGAAGGAGCAGGAGGAAGTGATGCATGAGAACAGGACAGCCCTGCCTGGCCATGGTGCCCTCAGGCCCAGCTAGGCTCTGCATCCTATCTATCCCCAATTACCATCCTTCATCTTGTCACTGGGTTTCTCTTTCCTATGAGGAATAATAATGTGTCTGGGGGAAGCCGGGCAGGGCAGTTGGGTGTCATGAGGTGTCTGTATACAACGGGGCTTCCTATAAAAAGGTCTTCAAGACAGTTAGGTAGTTCGGCCTTTGAAGGATGAAAGACCCATGGCCCTGAAATGGAGTCCTTTAATTGTCAACAGGTGCCTTAGGAAGGAGCTAGAATCTCTCCCCGGAATGACCATGGAATGACAGCTCAAAACCTTTCGGAGTGCCCTAGATCAAGAGTCACCATCAAAAGATCACGGTGTAAAAGATGCGCTCTCGGTAAGCGGAAGCATTGGTCCTGTCTCAGTATGGACTTCGTCTGTTTGGGCTGTTGTCCTGGTCTGAACACGGGGATAACTGCCACTTGCTGGTTAATTAGCTTCCTTGCCCAGGAGTCTCTTCTGAGGCCCTGGTGAGAAGACCAGAGGGAGGAAGGAGAAGAGACACTCTCCTCACTACCCTGCTGAGGAGAGCAGCCAGCAGAGGACAAGCAGCCAGAAGGTGCAAAGAGAGCCCTTAACTGAAGAAGCCTAAGGTTAGGGCCCGTGCCAGGGGACGCTACTCTTGATGCCCTGTGCCAGCTTCCCCTCCTCCATCCATCTGACCAGGCTTGGAGGACCCTCTGTGGAGGAAGCCAGAGCCCTCCTCCTGGCTAAGGGAAGAGGAACTGCTCAGAATTCAGGGGAGCTGAGGAGTCAGGAAGGTTTAGAGTGTCGGGCTGAGCTGCTCTTGGTTGGCGGCGCTGCCCTGTGCACCCCAGGAGCATTTGCACAGTGGGTTACGGTGTCGTGCAAAAGTAGCCAGCTCTGGAGAACCCGGATGCTCACCCTGCACCGTCACAGGAAGGAATAGCAGGGTCAGTGGGGGAGGAGGGAAGGAAGGGTTGGGGGGGAGGAAGGGAGAAAGACGGAGGATGGAAGGAAGGGAGAAGAGAGGGAAGAAAAGAAGAGAGGGAGGGAAGAGCAGGACCCTTTCTGGGGCCAGGCCTTGGCTCCGGACTGTCAGGTGGGCAGGAGGCCGGGGCTGGGAGGGAAGCTGCCAGAGGAGGGCCAAGCCCCTTGAAAGCTGCTATTGTTAGGTCTCTGCTCAGAGAAACCCTCAGTAAAAAGAGCTTGTTAGTGAGGCCCGGGCTGGAGACAAGCTGCTCTCAGAGAGCCAGTGAACCGTGCGAAATGACTTAAACTAACATCCCTGACTGCACTGGGCTGGGACCCAGGAGTCAGGGCCTTGTGCTCATCAGAAATTCATAGAAGGTGCCCCGCGGCTCAGCTTTCTCTGGCCTCCTTGTTCATTGAGCGTTTTTTCTTTCCAGTCCTGCGGCTCTGAAAGGGAGACAGGAGCTGCCTGATGGGGAAGATCAAGCGGCCTTTGAAAACCCCTCTCGGAGTTTATTAAACCCTGGGGCTAGGGCAGGCCAACCTGGAGGCCCAGCCAGGCCCGGCTCCACCCCCCCATGGACTTCCCAGAGGGGACCTAGCCTGTTCTCTCCCCCTAAACTTGACAGGCCTGTGCCCGGACGGGACGTGAGGATTGAAGTAGGAGCCTGAGCACCTAGGGTAGAGACTATCATCTTTTTCAAGGTGGATGGGGCAGAGACTAGCCACTTCCCCAGATGGCCAGGGCCTCTCTCCCTGGGCCACTCAAGATGTCCTCATTTCCTACAGGGACTCTCTTTATTAGCTCTCCCAAGTGTTTGCTCAAGGCACAGAGCGGGGAGTGGAAGGGGAGCCACCAAGGGTCTCTAGGCTCGACTGCAGCTCAGTGACCAGGCAAGGGCGGGATGAAGATGAGCAGGGCAAGACTTAGGTTTCTACACTCTGGAAGGCCCTGGGAGATGGAAGGCACAAGAACGCATGCTCAGTGTTCCCTCCGAACTCTTGCCAGCGCCCGCCCACGCTGTGCTCTGAGGATAGGTCTGGACTGACACCATGCTCCCCGCCAACAGTGAGCTCCACACGGCCATTCAGCCCAGGAGCAGGCCCATAAACACGGAGGCTTGGAGTCAAGGTAGTTATATTCTCGAACTTCCACAAATATTGACCAGGGCATTCTGTGCGCTAGGGCACCATCCTGCACACTGGACAGGCAGTGGTCTGTCAAGCAGCGGACGCATGTTGTTATCGACAGGGTGTGGTGTTACTGACACTCTGGGGTCAACTCATGGTAGCCCCACACCCCGAGAGGCCTCCTGCTTGTCAGGTGACTGGGCCCCGGGGAGAAGTGGCAGGGCCCTGGGATAAGACTGTTCTCTGGTATGTCAGTCAGCTGCTTCCACCTGATGAGTGTCTCTCCCGAGACTCTGAGGACAAGTTCTTTTCAAAAGATAATTCAGTCTAAAACATTAAAAGAGCCGGTAAGATGGCTCAGTGAGTAAAGGCGCTTGCAAGTCTGACAACCTGAGTTTGATCCCTGGACCTCAAGGAAAGGGAGAAATAGAAACCCAGCTCCATAAAGTTTTCCTTGGACCTCCACATTTGTGGCATGACATATCACACACACACATACACACATCATACACACACACATCATACACACACACACACACACACACACACACACACACGCACACAGGCACGCACACAGTCGCGCACACACACATCACACACACACACATCACACACGCATGCACGCACGCATGCACGCACGCCTGGTCTTGTTTCACTGACCCTGTCACCCCCAGAACTGCTCCAAGGCCACCCATACTCTTCATTGATTGACACCTCCAGGAGAGGGCGCGCTTCCTCCCTGGCCAGCTCTGGGTTTGGAATGCAGATCAATCTCTGCCCCTTTTTATGCTTCCCCTTTAAACAAGTTCAAAGTCCTTTACAGATTCCCTGAAGAATCTCTTTCTTCACAACTGTAGAGAATAAACAGACGGGAACAGTCTGAAGATATAAAACTGGAGTTCAAAGCTGTGTGTGTCGACAGTTCCCGAACCTGGAATAGATTGCAAGGTGTGGGGAACGGCCATGTTCTCTCTGGGCTACAGACCTCTTTCTCCTGCAAGGGAGGAAGCTGGGGTCTCATCTCCTAAAGGCCAGACCTAGCTCTCTGCTGAAAACAGGTCCTGCTTTCCCAGGAGCCTGGAAGGATACCAGGGTGGGTGGTGAAGGTGGGGTTTTATTTTTAGAGATAACTGACCTGGATTTGAGTTTTTTTTTTTTTTTTTTTTTGATGGGGTTTTAGCTTGTGTAGCAATGTTTCCTTATGGTGGGTAGCTGTGTGCTCTGTTTAGAAAGATTCCAAGACTGCGGCTGGTGTTTGTTATTTATTATTCCAAGTGTTATTATTGACTCATGGAGGCAGCTCTGGCCTAGCCCCAGGGAAAGTGCTCTGCCCCATTGGTGCTGTTTGTCTCATTCCTGAACCAAATGAGAAGAACAACAAATACTTGTGCTAGCTGTGTGTGTGTGTGTGTGTGTGTGTGTGTGTGTGTGTGTGTGTGTGTGTGTGTGTTTGTGCGTTTGTGCGTGTGTGCACGTGTGTTTCTGAGCCAAACACAAGAGCCAATGATCTGACCACAGGCTGGAATGTTTGGCTTGGGACCTGGGCCCCAAACTTGTTCCATGTGTTCCCTGCAAGTCCCGGTGGAGGAGGGTGGCTCCCCCAGCTGGTGGAGACTCCCAGGAGAAACCATACCTTGGTGGTTTTCAAGCAATCCTTTTATAGACACGCAGTAGTGAGTCTTTCCTTCAAGGAACTGCTGCGCAGGTGCACAGTCAATACGACAGCCGACAGTACAACAGCTGTGATTGGAGTGGGGGTGGGCAAAAGAGCCCCACCTGTTGCCCTTTCTCCCATGCTTCTCTCTGCCTCTCCCTGCACTCTGCTGGCAGCTGGCAACCCCCAGTGCTCCATGGAACTTACTGAAGCTACTAATCTATGTTACTTCCTTGGCTGTTTTATTGTTATTTATTTATTGAAAAGATCTCACTCTGTAGACCAGGCTGGGCATCAAATTTGCAGAAATCCCCTCGCCTCAGCTCACAAACGCTGAGCCACCATGCCCAGATCCCTGACTGTTTTTAAATTGTCTTGTAGAGATGAAGACATTGAAAGCCAGGACAATATGATTGAATTAACTGAACAAAAATCTTAGCAGCCTCAGTCACCTTTCCAGGCTTGCCCACCCCTCATCATTACCCTGACTAGCATCCTTAAATTCTCTCTGGCCTCCATAACCTCAGGCAGCAAATGCCTCCTATTTTTTTGCTTGTTTTTGTTTTTAATATATATGTGTATTTGCCCATATGAGTATATGTTCACCATGTGTGTGCAGAAGTCCATTGGATCCCCTAAGACTGGGGTTACCGGTCTTTGTGAGCTACCATGTGAGTTCTGTGAACCGAACCCAGGTCCTCTGCAAAATTGGAAGTACTCTCCACTGCTGAGCCACCTCTTCAGCCCCAACACCTACTTAAAAAAAATAGATTAAAAGTATGTTTTTGAGTTGAGCATAGTGGTACATACTTGGGATATAAATCCAGCTCTTGGAATGCTGAGGCAGGAGAATAGCTGTGAGTTCTGGGCCTGTCTAGGCTACACAGCAAGGCCTTGCCTCAAAATATTAAAAAAAAAAAAAAAAAAAAAAAGTTTTTCCTCCTTATCCTTGCTGCTCCCAGACCTTGAGAGGAGCATCTCGATCATATCATCATCTTACGCTTTCTGCTTCATGCCAACCACTTAGAAGGGATCTCACCTTCTGGTCATTGGCCTGGATGCTGCCTGGTTGTCATCGATACCCTTGCTGTTCCTCATCCCAGGGTCACTTGGACTATGGTCCTAAACTGTTCTCTGATTTTGCATGCATGCAATGGGCATGGGCAACAGTTGATGCCACAGTTGATGCAGCCTTTACCCTGTTGTTCTCTTCCTCTTCATCCTTGTCCTCATCCTCAAACCCCCCTCTTTCTCCTTCCTCTTCTCATAAGCTGGTCGCGGCTTCTTTTTTCCATCCTAGCGTCTGAACGCCACCCACTCCTCCAAGGTCCTCTCCCTTTCTCCCCTGACTTCATTGGATGGTCCTTCCATCTCAGCTTCATCCTCTATGCCATCAAAAAGCAACAGTTTCTTTCCTGGAGTCTTCCTGGACAGAAGTGGCGTAGCTATTCTTGCCCACATTTCAACGCATTCACCCTCACTTAGTGCAAAGCCCCCCAGTACATTAGACTGGGCATCCTGCCAGACTGAGTTTATTTTGTGATTTCGTGCTGAGTTCTGGGGTCTTCCTGATTTGTTTTGTGGTCAGACTGTCCCCTGCATCAATCCACAGAAACACACTGTATGGAGGCAGAGGTTCATGCAGAACACAAGAAGAAGGGTCCATGTGTTAGACTGTGCTCTGTGGAGGGTCAGAGCTACTGTGGGTGCCCAGGCCCACCCTGGATGAGTGGGATGAAGGCATCAGTTTGCCTTTCAGGCTCTTCCATCTTTATGGACTTCTGGCCTAGGAGAGCAGATCTTCCCAGCTTGCATCCAAACTGAACTGGGATCAGCAATGCTGGCTTTCCTGACACTGCTCTCTACCTCCTGTCCCATCCCCTTCTTTCCCAAAAGACAGAAAGGGGCCGGCTGTGTCTCAGGGCCTGTCAACCAATTCAGTGGGAAGGAAACATTAAACACTCCAAACGCTGCTTATTGGAACTGGGTAAACTCAGCACACCACAGTTTACTTTGCTGTCAGAAATCCCTGAGCTTGCCACAGAGCAGAGCCCCAGAGGATGAGGACTCCCACCAATCCTGCTTTGCATCACCACCCACCAGAAGGGACCCACTCTTCCAGGCTCTCCTCAGTCCCTCGGGCACTGACTCGTTCTTTTCTGTTCTTCTCTTACCTCCACTCTCTCTTCATTTCAACTCTGACGCACGAAGACTTGGTACTGGGCAGGAGAAGCGCACCTCTTAGGGTAGGGAGCCTAGAGCCCCTGCAGATGGGTTCTAGGACCCCACTCTCCCCCCTCACTTAAAGCCCTTGAGCTGCGTGTTGTTGATTTTGTACCGGTCAGAAATTCAGGCAGAGGTGAGGAACTGGTACCACAGAGCCATAGGATGTGGGGGCTGGGGCCACGAGAGGCATTTGGAGGAGAGTGAGGACAAGCAGTTCTGCCCGTGCGTTCACGTAGGTTCGTTGAGGACTTGGGGATGCATGCACTGGGGAATCGGAGTATCACTGATTTGAGCCTTTGCTTCACATAAACGCAAATACCCTCAACAAAAGAGCTCCAGCCTCCCAGAGGGCCTCCCTGACCCCCACCTCTCTGAAGAAATTTGCAGCCTGGGCCAAGGTTTTCTTTTTGGCTCCACTTGGAAGTACAAACCTTGTGGGCTTGAGATGAAACATATGCTGCTCTGGAATGTGGCTATTAGCCAAGGGTATACTCAGAGGCCCCTGCAGAATTCTCAGCCATCTGCCTGGGATTGGACTGGGAATGTGTGGCAGAGCATCTGAGGCCAGGAAAGGGCAAAAGAGGCTGAGGTCACCTTCCTCCTCTGCATCCCACTTAGGACCAGTGCATCTTTCAACACTAGAGTGGATCTTAATGTATTATGCTTCCTCTCCTGGCAAGCCTCAAAACCAGATTCAACCTCAGATGCCATGGCCTCTAGTGGCTGGTTCCAAAAGGAACAGGTGCCGATTAGTATGGCATTTTGCACAGTCCTTCAAGGTTATTCATTTCATGCCAAGTGGCACAAACCATTTCCTCTGTCCCTGCCACCTCCCCTGGGAACCCATAACATTTCCCACTGTCCCTTTCTAGCTCCACAGACTGTCCTCACCTGACCAAGGCTTTTGCTTCATGCTCCCCAATCTACCTGGACACCTCCCAGTTAGATAAGCCTTTGGCCTGGCCTTCTCTCACTGGTATGGCTGGAGAGCAAGGGTTTAGATCCATCCTTATGCCCAGAAAGACCCTACCTCCCCCCAACCCCTTCAGATGGTTGCAAAGCCTCTGACAGGGACTAATTGTGGGGCTGGGTGGGTTGTCACAATAGAGAGGTAGCTGGCAGAGACCCTAACAAATACATGGGCAAACAACTCCAATCTAGTGTATTTCTGGGATGTCATGGAGTGTGAACCAGGCGAGAAAGGACAAGGATACAGTCTTAGGAAACATCCTAGTAATTATTATCCACAAAAAACTTACTATTTTTATATTATGAAAATCTGAGGCCTAGAGGAAGAAGAGTGAATCCCTGGCGGTTCTGTCAGTTAAGGCCAGAGCTGGATCAGAAGCTGGACATCTCTGCAAGTCCTGTTTCGGGAAATGTCACCATTCCCCCAGAGTGCCGTGAGACAGCAGCTGCTTCCGTCGAACTGTGCATCGGCAGCATCTGGGCTCCAACCTGGTGCCCACTGAGATGGGCTGTTCACTGGGGATGAATGCTAGTGGTCCCTTCAGCTGAGCCCCGAACTGCAAGGGAGTGTACCAGACACGCAGGATGCTACTCAGAGCATACATCACTCTCATTATCAGTTTTTGCTATCTGTTTTTCTTTGTATGGTTGGGTTTGGGTGTTTTTGAGACAAGGTCTCGTGGAAGCCAGGCTGGCTTCAAATTCACTGTGTAGCTATATGTCTTTCATTTCCTGATCCTTCTGCATCTGCTTCCCAAGTGCTGGGATCACACTTGTGGGCCACTATGGAGGCAGCTTTCTCTACCTTAAACATGCTTTGTTTTTAAAATAACTTTTCATTTTCATTTTATTTTATGAGTATGGGTGTTTTGCCTGCCTGTACGTCTGTGCACCACATGTATTCCTGGTATCCTTGGAAAGCAGAAGAGGGTGTTAGATACTCTGGAATTATAGATGGTTTCGAGCCACCATGTAGGTGCTGAGAATCAAACCTGGATCCTTTGGAAGAGCAGTCAGTGCTTCTAACTATTGAGCTAGTTTTCCAGCCCCTTAAATATGTTTTCACATTTTATTTATTTAGTATGTGTGCATGTGTAT